CTTGAGCACATTTGACAAACTCTTCACCATCCAAACCTTTAACACTATGGTAATCCCAGCCAATGTTTGGAAAATTAAAATCCCCCATTATTACAACATTATTATGCTTACATATATTGGAGATCTCCCTACATATGTTTCTTAGTTTCTCTCTTTCTATTTGGGAGCCTTTAGTAGAATTCCAAAGTGATCTTTCCCTTCTTATTTGTAATTTCTACACATGTATTTTCACTGGACGATTTTTCAGAAATATCTTCCCTAGTTACAGCAGTGATGTAATCAAAAACACCAGCCACTAACACCACACCCCACCCCACCCCCCGCCCCCCCACTTTCTTGCCTCTTTTTCTATCCTTCCTAAGGCATGTAAAACCAGGAACATTGAGCTGCCAGTCTTATCCATCTCTCAGCCAAGTTTCTGCAATAGCTATGGTGTCCCAATCCCATCAGTTCATCAGCCTTACCTGTGAGATCTCTTGCATTGAAATAAATACAATTTAATTCTTCAGAGTTACTACATACTCTGACTCTGTCTTGTCTTTCTTTTCTCACTGATGTGCTCTCCTCACATTCAGGAACTTCCCCATCAATCCTTCTGTTTACACTGCTACTTAGAATTCCTCCACTCGCCTTCTCTATTAGTATAAAGTCTCCCTTAATAGAATGAGCAAATCTCCCTGTTAAGATATTGGTTCCTTTCCAGTTTAGGTTAGACTTATCTTTTTTTGAACAGGTCTTTTCTATCCCAAAAGACATTCCAATTATCCAAAAACCTGAAACCTTGAACAATACACCAGCTCTTCACCAATTGATTTATCTTCTCTTAACTTGTTTGAGTTTGGAATTGGGAGTAAACCAGAAATTACTACTTTTAAATGTGTTTTTTTTAAACCCACTATGTAACCTCTTAAATTTACTCTGTACTGCTTTAATCTTCTCCTTAAAAAATCTCATTCTTATCAATGTGAGCAATACTTTCTGCTTTCTCAGTCTCAGCTTTAACTACATGTTCAAAACATTTAGAAACGTCCTTAATCTTAGCACCAAGAAAGGAACAAACCATCCTAAATTTACATTAATTCCCACACAATTGTCCATCTATGCCCCTGACAGGACCATCCTAGACAGGACTAGAATTAACAATAATTTGAGTAAATCTTGTCAAACATTGCCTAACATAAGAATCATTCCAAGTGTCCAATAATTGACTGGTCCCCCCCAAGAGAGACTATCCCCTGCAACTGTTCCAAAAACTGAACATCTATTTGGTTGAGGAATGGCCACTGGAGACCTAACAAGAACCCATCAATCTGACTGATCAAACATATAAAAATTCAATAAAATCAACCACTTAGCTAACTGAATAAAAATGATTCCTCTTCAATAAGTTCCTCAAAGAGAAACAAAAACCTTCTCCAGAACTGACCACAGGTAGGACTTGGCAGAACAAAAGCACAACTCCTTATTTGTAAAAAAAACAATTTGCTTTTAAACCTTTAGAATGTAAAAAAAAACCCTCTAAAATATATATCACAGTTTTAATTTCTCAATTAAGGATGAAACAAAAACTTCAGCTGCTCACATTAGACCTTTAAAAAAAGAACTGTTTACAAAAGAAGTCCATTTGAAAAAAAATTCATGTTTTTTTTGTTTTTCTTGAATGTCAATAAAAAAAAGGAGAAATAATCCTATATTCATAAACTGTAATAGTTGTAAAACTGTAAAAAAAACTATAATAAATCTTTAACTAAGCTGCAAGATCCACACTGCTCCCCATTTGTCCTTCTTTCCATTTGGCAGAACTTGTTGGTTGATATTGATAGTATATTGCAATCATTTCAATTCTCAATTCTAGGAAGCTTATTTTATTTTGGAATGGAAGTTTTTTTGTCTATCAAGACTATAATCATTCTTGGAGTAGAACAGGGTTTGTTTTTAATAAATTCTGTGATATTCACACCTAAATTTTCTGATTGGGGTGCAGCTCAGGCATATTAAAGTAATCAGAAAACTTTTCATTAACCAGCAGCAATGGGACCAGGAACGAGCCAGTTGATCAAGAAATCCTCATAATCAATGTAAAATCACAAACTAATTAATAGAAACACACTGTGGGTGTAAACACATCACTATTATAGTTTATTTACAGCATAAATCACTGAAATAAAAATGCAACTTTGCCTTAATTAAAATTTAACAGCAGAGAGCCTTTTCACTCACACCCTCAACTGACTACTCTGACATAGCGGAGATCATGATATAGTAAATTTCTGGTAATTCAAGTATAAAGTATTTGCTTGTTTATCCAAGTTTGCTGTAATTGAATGATTAGATGCAAATTTCCCAACACTGAATCAGTCAATTGTTGCTTTAACCAATTAACAAAGGTCAACTCATTAATCTGTGCAAATTTGAATAGATCTGAAAGGGAAGAAGGCAATGATGATACTTAAAGTTGTAAATAGGGTTAAGATAAAGTAATTATATGTGGTGTCACAACTGGATGAGGAAGGGAAATCAACTCTCCTTCTCCTCTCTTCTAATCCCCTCTCAGTTGGTCACAAAGTATGTTTTTCTTTAATATGCAGCTCTCACACTTCACTCAAAATGTACTTACACTAGAAAACACAGGAATTAAGTTTTCTTGAGTGAGAGAGAGAGATGAATTTTATTCCCTCCTAAGCTTGAGAAAATAATAATACAGATGCAACATCAAGAACACAGCTAATAAGTTTATAATAGAAAGTGTATGGTACTTGGAAAAAAAAGGTTAAATCATTTAAATTTTGAGACAAACATCATAAATTTAGACAGTTTTGGTCATTCCACATGGGTTCTGTGGAAGCTTGCCCGAATCTGTGGTCAGCTGTTCATTGCTGTTATTTTAGGTTATCGTTTCTTCTTTTCTGACAAAAAAAACTGCATTCCTGAAAGCATTCAGGTGCAACAGTGAGACCGTAGAAATTAAAATTCACTTGTCCATTATTTACCATTAATGTAACAATTACAAAACAGTGACAAAAAAGTCTCAACAATCTTTATAAATACTTGAAAAATATAATGATCCATTGATGCTATGAGATCTTTTACCCCTTGTTTTCTTGAGAATAGGAACCTCTGCCTCAATTAATCATCTGCCAAAGTGATGTATATTCAATTGGGACAGAAAGGGACAAGTATAGAGAGCAAATCACCTCCAGTGGTCTGATTTGCTGTGCATTGCTCCATTTCAGTCCAGAGAATGTTCACCAGGATGTTGCCAGGGTTGGAGAAATTGAGAGCAGAGAAGACTGAAGGGACACATGATTGAGGAGAATAAGATTATGAGAGGTATGGACTGGGTGAATAGAGAGCAGTTGTTCCCCTTGGTTGAGGGGTCAATCATGAGAGGGCATAATTTTAGGATAAGGAGCAGGAGATTCTGAGGGAATTTTGGAAAAAAAACAGTTTCAGTCAGGGGGTGGTGGGAATGTGGAATGCACTGCTTGGGAAGGTATTAGGGCTGGAAACCTTACAACCTTTAAAAAAAAATTTAGATGAGCACCTCAAATATCGTAACCTTCAAGGATTAGGGACAAGTGCAGGAAATTGTGATTAGCGCACTTTTAATGGTAGTTATGTCGGTGCAGACTCAATGGGCCAAAGGTCCTTTTCTGCCCTCTATGAATCTATGAATTTGTTCCAACTATGGCAGGCATGAAAATTCCCGTTGGAAAGCAAACAAATTAGGATAATCATACTGGGAACAAAAGTAAAACAATTGGCAGAGTGTGTCATAACAGAAATATGAAGGAAAGCAACATTAGTTAATTTGTGAGAAACTGGTCAACTGATGGTAAAGAGATACCACAGGAAATGAGCTTGAGCCAGCCAGACAATTAACCCATCCTACGTGATGAACAGAATCTGACCATTCTTCCAAAATCTAAACAAAGTGCAACAGAACAGTGCAGATCCGAATTGGACTCAAGTATTGTGTGAAAATGATTCTGCTTTCAGAGAGGTGGCTCTTGAACCATGGCCTTGCTCTTCCAGTCAGCAGCAAAACTGGGCTCATTGCTACTTTCTGCTAAGTTTCTACTGATCATATGACACTGTCCATTTCTTCTGGGATTTTGTAATACTGGCAGATGAAGACATGCAGGGTACCATCTCCAGAGTTAGTCCATGGAATGTGGGTAAAGTCAGGGGAAGGAGAGCTCAAGTCCCATATCTTTATGGCACAGCGACACAATTCAGGTGAATTTTGAAGGATCCAAGACCTTTAATAAATGGTTATATACTGGTAAATGGATAGATGGGCACGTGGGTGACTGCTTACTGTGGTTGGGAGTGGGTGGCAGTCGGTGATCAGGTGGGTTAGTTACGTCAGATTGTGAATGTAGTAGAGTGGTCACATGATAATTCGGCAAGATGAGTTGTGGAGTTACCCACTGGCAAACTAGGTATTAAATCGACTAACAACAGTACAGCACAGTACAGGCCCTTCAGCCCACGATGTTGTGCCGACCTATTATCCTACTAAGATCAACCTACCCTGCATACCTTACATTTTACTATCCTCCATGTGCCTATCCAAGAGTTGCTTAAAAGTCTCTAAAGTATCTGACTTTCTTGAGTAGGTATTCCACAAAGTCTAGGTGACCAAATCTCTGCCCTGACTCAGGCTCAGGAGACATCCACACAGCCCTGAGCAGCAGACAATCAGCCTATCAGAAATTTAAACCCTTCAGGTACTTCTTACATATATCTGTGCATTAGAACTTCCACAGGAACCGGAGGTCTGAAGATTTCAGCCACTGATGATAAAACGGATTGATTTTTCCACAGTTGTAACCTTGCAAAACTAAAAGTGAGCAAAAATGATGAAACATAAAAATATTTCACTGAGATTTCAAATCAGATTTTTAAACTTAAATAATGGGATTTCAAACTGAATGGTTATTTTTATGAGGTGAACTAATGAGAAATTCTTTGTTTTTTACACTTTTTTATTGCAGCCTTCATTTCATTGTCTTTGACACTGAGGCATCACATGACATCCTGAAAGTGTGGGATGGACCAGTGGAAAGTGATATGCTGCTGAAGGAGTGGAGTGGTTCCTCACTGCCTGATGACATCTACAGCACATATAACTCTATGACACTTCAGTTCGACACTGACTTCTTTATCAGCAAGTCAGGCTTCTCTATACAGTTTTCAAGTAGGTGGCATTCATCTCCTTCCCAAAATCGGAGTCCATTGTATAGATATTCATAGCTTCTTAACACTATAATGTTTGAATTTGAAACAAAACATTCTAGTATGTATTGAATCATTTCAAAGTCCTTAATGTGGAAAAAGGAACAAAGGATTTTTAAAAAATTTCTTTCACATTCTTAGAACATTTCAAAGGGCATTGTAAAACTCGTGAAATGTTAATCATTGCCTCCAGGATACTGGAAAAATATACAGTTGAATTTCTTTAAATTATATAAGGTTCTGGGTAAACTCTATTCAGTGCTTTGCATTTAGTTTAAGCATTGCACTTCAGAATGGAGTGCAGCATAGATTCAACAAATTCTTCTTAGGTTAAGATTATTAAACGATGAGTTGTGTCAAGGAAAAACTGATTCCTGACTGTTAATTAAAAATCCTCAGTGAATCCAATGTCTAAGTCAAACCATTCTTGTGAGATAGTAGAGCAGCATGTTTTTTATTCAATTTACAGAACAGTAATATGACTAACTGTTGATTTGGGAGTTTGATTTGAAGTACATCAATGGAAATAGAAGGTGCATTACACAACTGGAATAATAATTAATATGAAAAGAAAGCCTTAGATCTACATTGGCAATGAGGAACTGGAACAAAAAAAAATTATTGAAGTAAAATATGAATGGAAGCACGTTGCAACACTCACAATTGCTATTGTTCCTCTTATGATCTCTGTCATCCAGCAATGGATCACTTGCATTCCACAAATGATCCTGGAGGAAAGGGGCTGCTTCCAGTCAGGGAAAATAGGCAGGGTGCTGACCCTTATTGTTTCAGCCAATGCTGCCATGTTGCTAGCTGTCACAGATTCAGTTGTTCCCATTCCATGCCCACCTTGGCTGCCTCCACTGGTTCACCACTGTTCCCTGGCTCTGAGCTGAAAACCAAGACTGAACCCTGAACTTTTACATGCGTATGGTATAACTGAGGTGTTTAATATGCTTAGGAGTTGATCGGGTAGAAAGAGAGAAACTGTTTGCAAGAAGGAATCTATGACAAGGGGAAATAACGTAAAATTAGAGAGATGTTGATCAGAGTTGATATCAGGAACCAATTTTTCACACAAATGTCAGTGGAAATTTGAACCTGCTTCAACTAAAGGGGATCTTGACGACAGGTCAACTGAACATTTTAAATCTGAGATTAATGGACTTTAAGGAAGGGTATTAAAATCTATGGAAATGAGGTAGGTGGATAAAGAAGATGCAGGTCAGCAATGATCTGACCAAATCATAGGTTAAACTTGACAGGAAGAATGGCAAATTCTTCTCCTAAGTGTGAAGTGTTTCAAATTTAGCAATGTACAGTGACTGTTGTGATGCAGGCAAATGTAGCAGCATATTGTATAGAGAGTAAAATGTTAGATAGGGCACTTGTGATTAATTTGCTTGTGCGATGTGACTGGCAGAATTTGATGCCTATCCCAAGTTGGCGTTGAGAAGTTGGTGGTGAGCTGACTTCTTGAAATGCTGGAGTGCATGTGCTGTAGGTAGACCCACAAAGCTGTAAGGGAGGGAATTCCAACGATTTTGACCCAGCGACACTGAAGGTACAGCGATATATTTCCAAGTCAGGATGGTGAGTGACTTGGAGGGAGCTTGCAGGTGGTAGAGTTCCCATACGTCTGCTGCCCTTGTCCTTCTAGATGGAAGTGGACGTGTGTTTGGAATGTGCTGTCCAAGAACTTTTGGTGAATTGGTGCAGTGCAACTTGTAGACGGTACACACTGTTGCTGCAGAGCATTATTGATGGACGGAGAGGATGTAATGAGAAACAAGCAGGTTGCTTTGTCCTGGATGGTGTCAAGTTTCTTGAGCATTGTTGGAGCTGTACCCATCCAGGCGAGTAGGGAGTATTCCATCACACTCTTGACTTGTGCCTTGTAAGTTGTGTGATGAAAATCCATTTATTGTTCAGCAGTAATGAATTCATTGTGAAGTCAGCTTCACAAATTGTGTAAGAAGCAGCTGCGGTTCGAGTCCAATGGTTCCAATGAGACATCTAAAATAATCGTTTCAAATGCCCATCATATTAAACTTTTCATTTTATGAAAAGAATTGAGGTTGTTTGTATAGCCATTAAGTATGACAAAGGAAATGTTTCAGCCATTTCAGTTGGAAGATTCGGACTGGATGGTAGCAGCCTGAGCAAGACACTTTATGCACCACTTTGTCCATTGGCAACACCATCATGTTGCACTTTAGTAGGTATGAATCTGGACAGTAATCTTTCTTATTTTATTGATAAAGGAAGGAATGTCAAAGATATTAAACTTGCAAGGTCTGTGGTTCTATTCCATCTGGAGACCATGCTCAGACTTTCTTCCTCTCCCTCTTTATTATTGTAGAAGCAGAAAAACTTATTTTTGAGTGAAAATTTGTGAATTAAGGAAACAATTGCTGTTGTAGTGACCACTGCTGGTGCAGATTGCAACACACCAAATTTCTTGCTAAAATATGAACTTGAAGTCTTCTTTTATGCTGCTGCTTGAGCTATGGTTAGTTTGAATTTCTTACTGACAAGCCACTTTTCCTACATTCCTAAGTGGCCTTAGTTAAGATGGAGTTGGTGACCTTTATACCCTCAAGTCATATCATATCCTATGATATGGTGATGACATCATGCGCATGTCTCTTTAAAGCTCTATTGCACACTAACTGAGAGATATAACACAACAGAATCTCCCCATTTTTAGGCAGTCTAACAGTACTGTTATAAAGAAAATGGGGCAGTAAAGCCTAGTGCCACACCCACAAACCTAAAATGAGCTTTCAAGATTTTCCTTCCTCTTTTTCCTCCTCCTATCATCCTCACAGTTACTGGTGTCATCTAATCATATATTGTTATCTCCACACTGAGGATTGAGCTCACCATATGGTAGAAGGTCTTGAGACTAAAGAAACATTTTACCGTGTTACCATCTCTTTAGCAGGGATAAGGATGAATAGGAATTCCTGGATGTAAGTGCAGAAACTCAGTCTAGTTCCTTTCCTATCCATTGTGCATGTATTTTTTTGTTTCTGCAGATAGACACTTTCAGAAGCTTGTTAAGATTCCTTGTTTGAGCTACTTAGACGGCTACTGAACTTTGGAATAGTTGTCCCATTTCGCATGGTATTGTCTTCATTAACAGTGGCAGAATGAGTTGAGATTCAAGTCAGTTAAAATTGATTTTGAATCGAGGGAAATAGTTCAGGGTCATGATGAGTGAAAGTCCAGCCCTGTTACTTTTCACGAAGAAACTCTAGGCTTAAAGGGCCAGGTTTTCAAAGAAGTGTTAATCATACACAGATTGCGTTGCAATACCTTCATTTTTATTTTACGGCAGACCTCTGGGAGATTCCAATCAGGGTTTCTTCCAAACTACGGAGCAATACTTTATATCTGACAGAACTCCCGCAGTGCATGACAGTTGGGAAAAGGCAATCCATGTCCTATTTTCACTGCCGTAGGAGTTGTACTGTGTGATCTGAAGATGTGATTGACAGCTACTACAAAAGGCTACATTTCTGAAGTAAGTGTAACATTAGAGTGAGAGGTGGGCAGAAATTGGATGCCAGGTGGATAAGGGGATAGGATGCCAAGAGTGTTGGGTACCATGTTGGAAGGAGACCCAGGCACAGAGTGCTAATGGGTCAAGTAAATAAGGTCGGTAGGAGTGGAGCATTCAGTTCTTGTGGCTGGGAACACAGATGTCCCGCAGGGAAAAGGTGGGAACCTGCCCAGTCCTGGGGGTGGGTGGGGTGTGGTTTTGGGTTGAGTAGGGTGGGTAGAGAATGTCAAGCTTTGATAGAGATGGAGGTGTCAACTCCCAGGGAGCCAGGGCTGTTTGGATCCCTGGGGAGAGCATGTGTCTGGTAGCAGGGGAGCTGATGTTGAGCAAAGAGGAGTGTGATAGGGTTGTGGAGTGTCAGATCTCAAGGGAGTTTGGGTGACTTTTTGGCCTGATGGCTGAAGATGTTGAGTCCTGGAAGTGGGGGATTGTCAGGTCCAGGGGTAATTTTGGAGGGGTGAGGTTGGGTGGGCTGTGAAGGTGCCAGGATTTGGGGAAAGGGGTGTCAGCTCAGGATCTGAGGAGGAGGTGTAATTTGGATAATCAGTTTTATCACTGTATAGGAGTTAGATTAGTCCAGGTTGCTAATAATATGACTTTTCTTAACTACTTAACAGACACAGAATTCTCCAAATTCTCTGATTAAAATTGATGTTTTTAGATAGTTCAAATCATATGGCAATTGCCCCCATAATCTTAAATTTCTTCAGTAATTCCCAAAGAGTTTTCTACATTGGGGATTCCGTACGGTCCCAGTGGACAACTTTCATCTGCACTGGAATAATGATTCTCTCTCTTGTCATTGGAAAATTCAGGCCAATTTTTTTTTGACAGATTGAGTGAAAGGTAGTAACTTGTCCAATGAACTTCCACAGGTTCTACCATTTGACTACGGCTTGAACAAATGTTAAAATCGAGTCTAGTCTGCCTGTGAAAACTCAGAATAGATTCAGGAAGCGGAGTCTCTGTCAAATATTGCTCCTTGTGCAAGTTAGATTGTGAATAGGAGACACAATTCCTCTCTGTTCTGGCTTATAAAGTGGAATTATTGTAATAATGTGGAGGTGGTAGTGTTGGACTGGGGTGGATAAAGTCTGAAGTCTCACAACACCAGGTTATAGTCCAACAGGTTTATTTGAAATCACAAGCTTTCAGAGTGTAGACCCTTCATCAGGTGAAGTGAGAGAGAAGCACACAGAACACAGAATTTTTGGGCATAAATGCCTATTCACTTCACCTGACAAAGGGGCTACGCTCCGAAAGCTTGTGATTTCAAATAAACCTGTTGGACTATAATCTGGTGTCGTGTGACTTCTGACTTTGTTATTGTAATGAATGCAAGGTTATCCTTGTGCTTTTTAAAAGTTTCCAAGCTAGTGAGGTTTCTGCAATTG